TTTACGAACAGAATTTTGTATTGTGTATTAGGTACTGAGCATATTAAAACAAGCTGTACACTCAGATCAGATAAAGTGGATAGAAAAGTAAGACACTACAGGTCAGTCTGTAGCGGTTCTTCAACCGACAGTTTCGCAACGGCAGTTTTCTCTTCTTACCTCTTGTTTTTCTCTAAGTTTCTTGATAGATTCATTCAAGCTGGACGTGATCATCAACTCACGTACCAGAAGTACTTTCGCTCTACGCTGGTGACTAACAGCAGGATACGTTCAGTCTCTAACCAGTCCTGTATGATTGAGGACTATCAAGGCATGGTAAATAACCATGGAATACCTATCAGAACCATCAAGGTTCAGAAATCACGTAGCGACCTAGCTTAACGATTAAGTAGCTAAACTACCGTCAGGTTTTTCCTTCTTCCTTTGAAGACCCTTATCCACCGGACACAATCAAGTGTACCGTCGGGATTTAGCATTTATCGCCATTAGTTGGCGATAGCTATCCTCTGAGGAAAGTTTCTCTATTGGATAAAGCAACTTGGACATTTCCAGGATTAAGTTTTGCTTTAACTATTAGCGTTCTTTTAATGAACTCGAAAAGCGTGCACCGACACAATTCCCCACGGTGAGCTCTGTATCGCACGCTTTCGTTGCATTGATCAGATCTACTTTCAGGTTTCCGCTGCCGTTGCTTAAATATCAGCCTAGGTCTAGCTAAATCTACTTCCAACCGTTCTGAAGATCTCAGAATATATCGTTTTCAATAAACGCAATCTCTGGTTCTGTTTCCATTTGGGACGAATATTCAAAACGGACGTGAGTAAACACTAGTGACAGGTTCTGACGAATATCGGCAGCCATCTAGTCACTAAAAGTCCAGCGCGAACGTACGAAATACTTTCCATTGTAATCCATATGCTACTTTTTGTCGTGCTCAATTATGTCCGTGGATCAACGGGAAGCTACGGAGAGAATATTTTCGAAACGTTTTCAACCAAACTCAAACGCGAGACACGCTCATGTGTTTTCATGAAACGTTTTCTAACCACATGTTTAATGCTGCAAAGGGGCTCTCTTCCGCTACCAATGGTGCAAAATTTTGAGCGAAACAAGCTAGGCTTACCAGCAGATATGTACATATTTAATACTCCATCAAGCAAATTCCATGAGCGTCAGCGCGTTGAATGTACATCTGAAGTTCTTGCACCGACGGATAAGTTACGCCCGACATCCAGATCGACCACAGTACGCACGGATTTGAACAGGGTGATATACAATGGATCAGCCCGCACATTTGTCAAGCAAATTAAATGCCATAGCGGTTACAGCTTGTATGAGCTTTGCCTAATTTTGGATATGCACGACAGTCAGAAAATTGCTGTTTCCTTACTTGATGCATTGTAGTACAACTGACAGAGGTTTTCGTTTCAGACGCGATGAAGTGCATCTCGTAGGAAATTCAGCTTCTGAGTTTTTGGCAGTAGACATAATCATGGTGTTCCTCCTTGGAATATGCTCTCCTTGCTCTTCTGAAAAACAGCTGATCGAACCTTGGAGGACGTGGTTGTAGTATTTTCAGTTATAGCAGTAGTAGTATGCAATGAACACGGAATACGAATCACTGATTAGCAGTCACGGACGTCACGTAAGCATTGGATCACACCGGCACTTGCACGCAATATTCCACGTAACTGAGATGCAAGGAAAAGGCCACAGTAGTATTTAGTTTATTGAAAGAAATAAGGGGGTTTAAATAATATGTACAAAACAAACTCAATAATTATTCGGGCCTCTGCTAATTGCGTTCTGGCATTTCTACCGTTGTTCATCTTCTGTCTGGACCGCACGGTTTCTGATTGGCTGATACAACTGATTTATGGTATGTAGTCCAGAAGCTGTTGCACGCACGTGCTTTGCTGACGTCAACCATGAAGCTTGATTGGTCGCAATTGCCGTAAAAATGTAACGTTTCACCCCAGGGCAAAATAAGACCACACGAAACTGGCTCAGCAAAAAATGATTCGATCGGTTGATAGATGTGATGTTGGTTGATGATGCACGAGGGAGTGAGATGAAATGGGTCGCTGCGACAGTTAGCGGACCGCGACATACGATAACTGATTGATGTGCTTGGAATGTTTTAGCAATACTCTGAGAACTTGGTGCGTAGTCACGAACACATTTTCTGCTCCGTTACAATGAATTTTGTGAATTGAAACAAGCTGTACAATGATGGCATAGAGAAGAATATTGAAAATACATCCTAATGCTGTTGTAGCAACAATCGTTTCTACCATCAATTCCTCCTTTGCTAACATTAATTACAAGACTAGGGATGACTGGTTGGCTCCAAACTCTTGGTTCCTCCGTAAAATTTGATACAATTCAATAAACTGAATTAATTTCCTCTCAAGTGGTTGTAGGGGGGGGGTGTCACTGATTCAGTCAGATTTGGATGATTGAATTTGCGCGTAACGAGGACAAATGTTAACTTCAAAGGAGAACCGTACACCACATTGGTCGAGCCGAAATTGTGTTGGGACAGTTGCACAGTTGCATCACAATGGGTCAGAAGCCGCAGCAGGATGATCAATTACTCTGTTTGGTAGTTCGCTGTGAAAACAGAGCAGTAGTGAAATATCTCTGATTTAGACCAAATGCTTAGAAAATCTGAGTGCATGTGAACCAGACTGAGTCTATAGATCTGGTCAGTGTCAATGATCTTACCACTTACGGTCAAATTTTAAAACCAAGACACCTTCAATAGGCTAGCTATCACAGTATTGTTCAATCTGAACAGCTGAATATCAAGTATAGGTTTAAGACGTTTTGCTTTGACGATGGAACTTTTTTCTCTCAACTAAAAGTGGCCTTAAGGACATTTACTCTGGAACCAATTTAATCCAACCGACAGTTTGAATGACAACAGGTATTCGGGTCTGTCGTTCGCGTCAGACTAGTACAAATGAGGAATAGATCGCCCGTGAATTCCGAAGATTTCCACGTCTACTGATGTAAATGGACGTTCATCTCACAGCACTTTGAATAGTTCAGTTTCCTTTTCTGAATATTCAATCTCTGAAATTTGGTGTTCACGTGTGCTTTATTTGTGTCCTCCGTTCCAGTTGAGCCACAGATTTGGCTCTGCTAAGTCACAAGCCAAATCCATTCGAATTTTGGTGTCAGGTGTTCTGTTTGACGGGACATTCCGCTTACTATGGGCATAAGTTTGATTATTTTTATAAACAATCCCGTCTCCTGTTCGTGTTCGTTTACCGTAGCTATTATTTCAAATTGTTTTCCGCTAGAGATTAAGGAGAGTCATTGAAATATGCTATCATCTCGCTGCGTTCGCCTGCGCCTTGTGTATACACCAATCAAAAAGGCGTTTATGGAACCAATCAACTCGTTTTATTCACTTGTTTCATGCCATTACTATTTGTTTAGTGAAAACATCATAGTTTTACAAAACCTGTCACAAACCCTGAGAAAAAAGGATCGCGATTACACGTGTTCTGTTCCGTTTAGATGATTCGGTAACACAGACCAACCAACCAATCTCGCTCTCTTTCTCTTTGTTACGCAACAAGTTTAAAGAACTTTGAGAGCACAACTTCAATTTATCCAAACGAGTTCCGGCTTGTATGCGCAAACCATGTTTTGGATGTTTATGTCTATCTTCCGGCATGTTGCAGACCAACCAGGGCAGCGATAGCGACCCACGCACAGCTGAGCACACTCGAATTTGAACCTCGCCTGTTGAGCAACTTGCATTGTTCAGTCAGATTTTCTGCACTCCCTTATTGACAGTGTTAACGTGATCCCAGAAGGCAAACGATGCGAGTCGATGTGCATTTACCCGACGGTCAGGTTTTCATCCTCGACGTGGACCCATCGGGACATGTGAGTCAGATTGATGAGCAACTGGAGGCTCGCCTGGGTCAGTTACCGATTGGAACTCGGTACTATCACAAACATCATCAACTGAACAACTCCAAACGTTTGACCGATTGCCACATTGAAGATGGTGCTGTGATTTACATGTCCTGTCCCCTAATACGTGGATGTCCGTATTTCAGCTATGACGAGATTTGCAACCATAAGTGAGCCGCTATTCCGTCTGGACTATGACTGTTTTTATGATCATGAATTGAATATAAGTTATTTTCACATTTTATCTGTTTTTATCAAAACATTGGGGGTGCTGGTGGGTCTGACAAATGAATTCTAATTGTAATTTAGCAAAAATCCGTATGGATCTGTTTGTTTAAGGTGATGCGATTCACTGAGGATTTAGGTGTATTCGTTTGAAGTATCAGTATGTCGCAATGTGGTGAATTTTGGGATGGTAAACGTATTATGTGTGATTTGCTAATTAAGCTATTTACACAAAATGATTTTTGGAATATCTGAGAAAAAAAGAAAAGACGGTACAAAATTTAGTCAAATGAAGATTCACATCCTGGTAGCACAGTCGAAAATCCCCTAGTCGTATTTTCTGTACGGAACAGGGGAAAACGCATCTGAAACAGTGCTGGAGCGACAATTAACACCCCACACACGATCGAAGTCGCGCTATAGTGTAGTGTGACTGAATCAATTGTGCAACGCTCGAAGTATTTTCTTTCGTATACGTCGGATTCGACGAAGTTCAAGTTGCACGCATTCATGTTCATGTCCCGTTTCTTGGTCAATAATTTCCGCATCGGTAGACTGCTGAGCAGCCGAAAGGTGGTAGATTACCAGACCAATTGAATAAATACACGTATCTCAGGTTGTAATGCAAAAATCTGAGTCAGTCACATTCGGGTTATACGAGCAGGCTTTTATCTCATCAGTATGCTCTACTGTATGGCCACATATGCATTGGAGATTAGTCATCTAGACGGGATATATGAAACTTGTACCGTACTTTTCCGGAAAAATGTCTTTAACACTAGAACAAGCAAATGCCCGAGGAGATACCCGTCTAGCTAATATCCACCTTTTATTTTCATAGTCAGTTTGTCAAATCTTTTCAAAACTTCAAGCACAATGAGGTTCACACGTTGCCTCCGAATTTCACTGATATTTATCAGACGTTTTGCCCTCTGCATAATCATACGTGGCTTTCAAGACCAGAAACATGAGGTGCCCACTGGGACATCGGCGGTGGTTTCCTTTATCCGATCCGTAAGCCCACCGACTGGCTATGAAGTCTGTTCAAATCAGGCGCAGATCTCCTACCATCAGTGAGTGTACTTTGCTTAACTTCGATCGAAAATATTTCATCACGTGATTAGTTAGACGACAACCGGGGCAACTGGCGTTGCCGTTATGTTAGAGAGTTTGACACTCAAAGAGCAAGTGTTACGGAAGAAGCAGACGAGTTGTACAACATCGAATTGCCATATTCAGTTGCTGATTTAGGTTTGGAAACCAAACCTGGTGGCCACATTCATAATGGATTTAGTGTTGACCAACGAGAAGTTGATGGTAGAAGCTGCCAATGTGAATTCCCCCTAGGACGCAGCCATCACGCAGTACTTACGCTCAAATATGTTTGTTACGCTTCTGTTCAAGGAAGTTCCAATGGTAACACGCGCAAATCCATAGACTATATACTGTTGAGAACCTTGGCGCTCCCTACTCAATGGGTTTCCTATGACGAAGAAACAAATCTGTTGGTCACCTGGCAGAAATTTATTGTCAGTCTTACAAACCCAATGAAATCGGTGACTAAGACTAGAGTAATCATCAAATCCAGCATCCGAAATTCATCTATTCGAAGCCGCACAAGAAAATGGCTATCTATGAGGGATTTATCCTGGCGAGATTATGAACGTCTTCCGAATGTTGTCATGTGGAATGATTATCGT